AGCACCACCCCACAAAGATTCATAAATAAAGACATATCATTTATATCTCTTAGGATTCTTAAATGAACATTTAGAACTTGCCAAATATGAACATCGCAGATATGAAACCATTGATTGCCTTTACCTTCCATGGCTAACCTCTTAAAAATAGTCATGTTGGACTATTTTGATATTTCAACACAATTACTATAGGGTCCAAGTTGATATGTGAATTACTTATGCTGAAAGAACTGATTGAATCTTCTTAATCATCTTGTAAGGCAACATTGCCTTGATGACTTAGTGATACTTTAGGGTTGGATCAACCCAATCTTATTAGTGAATTTGCCATTATGGTGGTGTCTGCTTAAAGAAAGAGTTTTTACAAGAAAATTGTAGTTACTAGTTTATCACATAAACTTGATAGTTGGTAAATTTGGTTCAAGTTTGACCTAAGCAATTTTAGGTGTATAAGATTATAATTTACAACTAAAGTTTTCTAACAACTCATCCACTTTTCATTTATCTTCTCTTTTATAATTTATGTTATTATAAGAAACTGAATTCATTTAATACATGACAATCATTTTTTTTGTTCATATAATTATATTCTCAAGTTAATTGCTATAAAAGAAGTTCAAGGAAAAGAAATCTCACTTCCACTTTATATGATTATTTGATTTTAATTATTTATTAATTATGTGGGATGACGATGGCACCCAAAGATGAGGAGTGAATTGGGGTTTAATAGAAATTTTGGTTAGTTAAAATAACTAATATAGTTTTAATGTCGGGTGAGTTGTTTTAATGGCTTTATGCTACTTCAGTCCTGAAGCAACTGTCCCTTCTAGAAATATTGCTATGATGATACTACTAATCAAAAATATCAGTTTATAAGCAAGGTTGGGAGTGCTAAAGCAGTGAGAATTTTGGATTCCAACCCGTCTCCCTTCTAGAAATATTGCTATGATGATACTACTAATAAAAAATATCAGTTTATAAGCAAGGTTGGGATTGCTAAAGCAGTGAGAATTTTGGATTCCAACCCGTCAAGATTTTGCTCTAAAGCTCACAAAAGGAAATTGCTCGGCTTTAAATAGGACTTGGCCACACACAAATATTCTAGCCTACAGTTAGCTTTAGGAAATCAACGGTAAAAAACAAGGGAGATTGGCCATGTTGACTAGTGTCGGTGACCAAACCCACCACGCAAAACCCTAAGCTAACCTAGAGCCGGCTAGGAAAGAAAACATAAGACTTTAGAGGTTCTTACCACCGTGATGGTTATAGACACATTTCTTCACGTAGGAGGAAGCTTCCCTATCGGTAGGAGAGAATTCCATGTTCTGACGATGCTTTGGCAATGCTCTGGTGCCTTCCCTAAGCTAAGAGGAAGCTATCCTCATGATGATCTCACACACTCACAAGAGGTGTGGTGGAGAACGGAGGAAAAATAACAAAGAAGATGATGAAGGAGAGGAGGGGATGCCATTCCTTCTCCCTTGCTCTCTCCAAAGAAGGCCTTGCTCTCTCATGAATCTCCCCATAGCTCCTCACCAGCTTCCCCCAAAAGCCTCTCCGAGCTCTCCCTAAAAACTCTCTTCAGCCACCCACTAATGAAGAAGAAGAGGGGGAGGGAGACGGAGCACGAGCACCAGCCTACAGAGAGCTCGCACGAGAGAAGGGGGACATGAGAGGGGGGCCTAAAGGTTAAGCTCCGCTCCCCTCCCCAAATGACACCCCCTCCCCCTCCTAAAAGAAGCATTGCATGCTTCTAGAGGAGGGAAAAAGGGGATTAGTCACCCTTGTGCTATTCCAAAGGTCTCGGGAGTTGAAACAGTGTAAAAAACAATGAAAAATCCTCACCTGGGAAGTGACGCCTATGCGCCCAATCCCTGGGCATCTAGGCGCCAGGCGCCTGGCACTTGGGTGCCACACAAATGGTGCCATACTTTTTGGTCTTAAGAAATGGTTGATTTTTAGGTGTTTCAAAGAGCCCAAGCGCCCAGTCAAGTGCCCATACACCAAGGACATGGCACCACACTTCTAAGCTCTTGAGTTGGGTGTCAAGGAATGCATTTTGGGTGCCTAAGCACCCAATGTGGGCGCTTAGCATTGGGTGCTTAGGCGTCATCCTAACCCCGAAACTCTGATTTTCACCGGGAGTGCCCAATAGATGATTTTTTGGCCTGCAAGTTATGAGAGACTCTGTATGAGTGAAATATAGTCCCATACCACCAAAATAGAGTGCTCTTATTGGTTATTCACCATAGAAATTGTTGCCAACGGTCATCCTAAACCGAGTCATGGGCTGGGTCTCCTAAACCCTAACTTTCCAGTAATACGTGACTTCCATTGCCCATGTAAGGCTCCAGATGAACATGGTGACCTCTAAACACTGGGATGAACACTTAATATGTCTTACATCCTGAATGAACCTTCTCGATGGTAGGTTCTCTCGGTTAAGGCTAAATCACCACCGACCCTATTTTCTTTCCTCAAACAAGTGCTAGAGAGTTTCGAGTGGGTGTATGAGCTACGAGATGATATAGACGAACTGTGGACCATCTGAAATTGCTCATGTGGACACCCTACACTAGTTACATCAAATTTTGACGTCATCACTGATTATCTAAGAAGCAGTTGTAAAGCTGCATCTTGGAGAAGCAGCTTCTTAGGTACTATTAGAAAGCTGCTATTGAAAAAGCAGGAGTCTGTTTGAATAATCTACTTTGCTACAATTGTTTATGAAGAATGTGATTGTTTTGTCATTATAAATGTAATATATCAAAATAATTACAACAGAATAATAGAAACATGTCTTGCTATACAAAAAGTTATGGTGGAGTCCAAAACACTCTAATACGTAAAAAGTGATCTATCATTTCATACATATATCTATAATAACAAGAAGCACCAAAATAACCATCAAGCTTAGAATAATGAACATTTTCAAGTATTAACGATCAAGTCTTTGATATATTTTTAAAAGAACCAATGCTGCTTGTAATTTTCTTCATAAAATGCTTTCTCAATTTGAAGAAGAGAAAAGAGATAACATCTATACGGTGCTATTTACAATAACTCAAAATATTTTTCCATGTACATAATTTTAAAAAAATCAACACTCCTTGTAATTCTCTTCATAATATACTTTTCTAATTAGATGAATACACTTCAATATTTGCATGTGCTCAAAACTATTTTTCATGGATACTTTTTCCAAAGAACAAAAAATACTCGTACTTCTCTCCATAAAATGTTTTACAGATTGAAGATGATGAAAGTGAAATGCAATTACCGGTATAAAATCTAAACTGAGATATTTGCAATAGCTCAAATTAATTATTCATAGATATATTTAAAAAAAAAAACCAACTATACTTACATTACTCTCTATAAAATATTTTTTCATATTGAAGAAGAGGAAAGTGAAGTGAAATTACTGATCTAACATATAAACTGAGATATTTGCAAAAACTCAAAATATTTTTTTATGGATATATTTTGAAAATAAACAACAATGCTTGTAATACTTTTCATAAAATACCCTTCCAAATTGAAGAAGAGGAAAAAGAAATGCAATTACTGATCTAACATGTAACCCAAGAAATTTGCAACAACTCAAAACCATTTTTTCATAGATTTTCTTACAAAATAACCAACATTGCTCATAAGTTTCTTTATAAAATGTTTTTCCAGTTTGAATAAGAGAAAATGAAAATGCAATTACTAATTTAACATCTTAACCGAGATATTTGCAATAGAATAAAATGGGTTAAACCACCAATAAGTAAACCGAGAAACATAAGAAAGAGAGGAATTATACTACTAAAGTATCGAAATTATCTCAAATAACCAACATGTAAACTAAGAAGCATAGAGCTAAAATAACTAACAAAATAAACCATCAAAGCACCACAACAAAGAGAAGGAGAGGAATTATACATACAAAGAGAGTCTAAGAGAGGCGACGACACTGGAGCGGACGGTGGGGAGAAGGAGATTAGGATTTTGCCTTGAAGTTACAGAAGAGAGTCTAAGAGAGGCGACGACACTGGAGTGGACGGTGGGGAGAAGAAGATTAGGATTTTGCCTTGAAGTTACAGAGGAGGTTTGGTCTTGGAGGGGATTAGGAAATTTGCGAAAGGGTAGTGACTATATTTCCCATCCGAAATAGAGACAGATCTGTGGAACACAACTACTCCCTCTGTTTTCGTTTTCTCCGTTCCGCGAACGATCGACGCCGAAAAGCAACGAGAAAGCCGCCTACCGAATGCTCTAAATCACGTTTTCAACAGGATAAGCATCCAAATTGGTACCCCAAACACATCCTAAATCACTCTCATTGATGCTGGCTTCCAAAACAAGCTTCTATAACAATCATTTCTTTTCCTTCACATGCTATTAAGCCTCTCCACGCCTTTTACATCAAGCTCACTTTGTGAATACCACCCACTATTAGAAGCTGCTAGTTTATCGGCACCATCCCTAAATGAACTACCGTTGCAAGCAACGCCACCTTCACACTTCATAGGTTCCAATGATTCATTTTGTCAAGTTAGCTCTATTTCCTGTGATGTGCCATCCAACCACCTCACCAAAAATAGTAACATCCATATTGCTTACTTTAATCCCATCATTAATAGTGACTTCACTTGCTCTGAACACAATTCAAATCATATTAAGATGAGCAAAATTTTATTTCAAATGAATTTAAGCCAAATATATCAAGGGCTTCAATGAATAGCTTGCGTATATTTGGATCCTAAGAACTTCTAATGTATTTTCTTAATTTTTATTACCATGAGATAGATAAAGTCAAATTTTTCTTCGTAAATAAATTTTTCTAAAATTTTATTCCAATGTTTAAATTAATAAATAGAATATATTTTATTTGAATGAGTTCAAATGATTCATATTATCCTTAAATGTCAGATTTTAGCGCCCATTAAAAAAAAAAGCATAAAATCCAGACTGCGTTGATTTGCTTCCAAGCCTTAAGTATCATTAACGCCAGCCGAGGCAAAAAGGCGGGAGGTGGGCTAAACGCAGTCAGTATATACTTTAATCGGCGAAAACAGAACACTCCCACATCACAGAAGCTGCTTGCTCGAGCGAGCAAGAGCACGCGGGAGGGAAGCCAATCTTTCATAATCGGAATTACAACATCTGCTGTTTCTCGCTGCTCTCTTCTTCTTCTTCTTCCTCTCTCTCTCTCCGAGTTTCTCGCGCGCGGTAAAATGGGTTCGGCCGCTGAAACTTCCACTTCAGCATCGTTCACCGGCAATCCCCGTCCGCCTTTGCCGGTAATGGCTCTTAGGGAGAAAATAGTGGAGAAGGTCCGAGAGAATCGCGTAACCCTAATTGTCGGGGATACTGGATGTGGTATTAACCTCGTGTCTATTCTCATTTGCTACAGTTTTATACTAGGTCACCCACTTTTTCAGTCTGAGTTTCATGAAAACACCTGCTATATCTTTTAGAACTTCACAAGCTTTGATAGAATAATCAAAATTATTATTTTTTTCCTTATCAGTTGCCTTTTTTTGGTTGTATATTTGTTTACCTATTCTATTTGTTGTAATTTTGAAATTAGTAGCGTACAGAGTGCGTGAAGTTCCCCAAATTTAAAGTCTAGTAAGGAGATAGCGTAATATACATTCCCTAAAGAGATATACATTTAATGTTAGTGCCCATCAACCGTTTATCTTACATCTGACTGAGCACTTCATTTTACTAAACAAATTAATACTCAACTCATCATTTATAATTACTTAAAAATGTAATATCTGAAATTTGGCACTTTATGTGACCAAGGTATTTATTCTGGATGGTTGAAATATGTTATGTTCAGGCGATAAGTTATTTCAATATAGAAATCGATTGGTGAGTTTGTATCTATATTCTTTAGATATAAGCACCATTACCTGACTTCGTTTGTATCTTTTGTGAGTCACTCTTTCGTGGATCGACTTGACTATTTAATGCAAAAGGGCTTTGTTAGTGTTATAATAGTTAAGTTATGCTAAAGATTAGCAGACAAAATTTAAAGAAGGATAAATGTAGGATCTTGTGCTTAGATTTTGATCCTTTATCATTTTTTCCACGTCAACGTTGTTTACTTACCTAAATTAACTTTCCCCAAATATTTGGAGAGTTTCCTCCTTTCCCCAGACAGGATACTTACCTAAATTAACTTCCCCCAAATATTTGGAGAGTTTCCTCCTTTCCCTAGACCTTGTCTGCTTTTGGTTAGTGCCATTTTTGCTATTCAACTAGTTAAAAAATGGACGCTGATAGTTTTGACCTTCTTGGTTGAAATGATGGGAGATCGAAAGGCGGAAGATGAAAAAAGGCAAAAAAAGGTTAGCTTGAGCTTGACTTGCTGAGAAAAAGATTGAATATATTTATCGTTTGAGAAGGCGGGTCTAGTGGCGGAGATGATTAGTGAGTGCTCATTTTTGGTGACCATTTTTGAAGTTAACAGTGAGATAACTTGAGTTGGTAGGATTGAAATATTTTTTCTTTGTTTTCTAATGATTGTATACTTGATTGTTCATTTGTCTTTAGGTGTCTCTACTAATCGAGACAATCAAAGAAAAGGACGGCGCCTTAGAAAGGCAAAGACTGCTTACTGAGAATTGTGATTGAGGGTAAATTGCTTTTCTCGATTTGTGTTGGCCTTGCTATTTAATTAATTTTTTAATTATTGAGATATTTGAATTACATGTTTTTTTGTGAGCTTACTTTGAGGCAATGGTCAAGAATGACTTAGATTGAGTATGTGGCTGCCATTCCTTTGATGAGTACTTCTTTAGGTTCATTGTTTTGTGAGCTAACCCAAGACCTCACTTTGGCCTAATGAGGGGCACTTAGTCAATGGCGAGGATGTTAACTTGTTGAGGCCTCTTGTGCGAATGGAGAAATTTGAGAGTGTTTGTGCATAGCTCCTTAGGCTCTCGAGCTTGTCAATTTTGGGTCTTCTCCTTTTGGTGAATTTGATGCATCATAATCAACTACATTGGTTCAATTGTTGAGGCAGTTTGGGAAAATGATGACTCAAGTGACACAGTTGACATCGTTGCTTTGTGCTCAACAAGAACAATTACAATCTACCAGAGAGCATCTTCGTGGTTAGATTGCAATTCTGGGGAATAGAATTGAGGCCTTTTAAGATAGAGTTATATAACTTTAGAGTATTGTTCGAAGTTGGTGAATAACGTGCATTGAGCTTCCAGGCTTGGTGGCAGAGCTTATTCTCATTCAAAACTCGCTGGAGCTATTGCAGTTTCCTAGCCAATGACAAATTGGTTTTGCCTCACTAAGCAGGATTTGGGTTTTTTTTTATTTGGGGGGGGGGGGGGATTCTCGAGACTTTTCAATATTTGTTCTGGTGACAACTCAGGTCTATGACCAAGTTACTTTCAAAATATTTAAAAGAATAAGAGGTGTAATGTGGCGGTCTTCTTTTGTTTAAATTCTCTCTTCTTCGATTTTAGTTTTAATAACGTTAACCATCTTTTCTATGATATGTATTGCTTTGTTAATAGGAGGGCCGAATGCACATATAAGGGTATTGAAATTTAGAAGGTATACCCATTCGCTATTTTGTATGCAGTGTTGTTTCTGTTACAACTCTCAAATTTTCTTTCTATGGACTCATCTTTATATGTTGGCTGTGCCTAGGTGAAGTTGGCCCCTCACTAGTGGCATCTCAATGGACCCCCTTTGGGGTCGCGAAGCAGTTTGGTGCTTCGAGCCCCCCTCTCATGTCAACGGAAAGGATGTAGTTACAACATGGGTTGTGTGACATCCCAATTGCCCAACACCCCCTCCCCAAGACTCAACAGCAATGCGATGGGAGCGGACGATTCGTTCCGACTAAATTCTCAATAACACCAATCTTGAGTTGCAAAATCAAGACCCAGTTAGTGATGAACTAGTTTAATTCAATCATTTCAAACATACTTGATACATTTCATTTCATAATTCATCCATCTTCACATATATTTCTAAGTGTTGAAATTATATTATTAAAATATGTATATTTTGTAGAGCTGCTAAATTCAACATAATAGAAGTACGTACCCAAAAGTTTGTACAAACTCATAAATTTATGAAATACAAAAATTGTACAAGTCACACTTGACTACTCGCCGTGATGTTGCTTGCTCTTTCTTAAAAGTCAATAACGTAGAGTGAACAACGAAATCAACGAAATAATTAAAGTTAAAATAAAATTTTATAGATGAAAAAGAAATAATATGCATGCTCATATGTACTTATTATATATGTCACAACACAAAACATGTAAAAGAAAAGATATGTAATACAATAAATCATGATAGTTGTATAAAACATTGCCATAATCGGATAAAACATGTAAAAGAAAAGATTTGTAATACAATAAATCATGATAGTTGTATAAAACATGTAATCATTCGTGCATGTGTCATCATAAGTATATTCATAAGAGTTATCAATCTAATCATAAGAATGTCACTTGTAATTATATAGACTTCCACTTTTTTTATGTCTCGTCATGCCATTGGGTTGTCATCTAGCCTGAAAACTACATTAACTATTGATAAACGTTGAAAACCTCCTAACATATTGTTGACCTCATTTTTGTGAGGTCTTCTCTTCTCCTCCTTAGAGCCTAAGATATAGTTCTAGGAGTTCTTATTGATCGTCTTAGAAAATTAGAATTGATATCCACACTTTTAGAAAATTCTAGCAAATTGTTATTTTCATTTGATGTCTAACATTTTTGACACAAGATCATCATTTTATGAACGAGCGGTTATGGGTTATTTTGCAAAGACTTAATGGAAAAGTTCGTAATAGGACTTTAAGCCTTAGGAAAACATCGTCAGGATTTTTTCATCACATACACACACGGAATACACAAAGTTCACAAAATTGCATGAAATCAGACTTCAATTAAGCCCAGAGGACAGGTGAAAATGCGAATTTCTCCGAATGACCTTTGACGACAAAATAGACTGCGCCAACGCGTCCGGGATACCAATTTTGGTAGGAAAGGACACCCATATTGTCATATTTTCGACACAAGAAAATTGATACGCAAATCGATGAATTCGTCAAAACGACTTCCGGTGGCGAAACAGATCGCGTCAATGCGTCCGGAGCATCAAAGTTACCTAAAAGGAACATCCATTTTGTTGTATTGTGATGCACGGACAAAATGGTACTAATCAAATTTTATTTTAAGAAATATCAAATCAAATATTTTATATATTTATCA